AATATCCAGCCACAAATTTCTGGAGTCTTGACAGCCAAGATGCACAGGAACCTGGAAACCTTGTAAGAGACTAGAGATTACTGGCTAAAAACATTTCAGATGCTTGCATGTGGGGGAAGGGGCAGATCAAGCCTTTCTCTGGTGAGGTGATACCCTGCTCTGCACACCCCACACCCCCAGACCTGTTTCCCAATCCAGCAGTGGCTGCTGATCCCTGGCACACCAGAGCCAATGCTCTACACCTGTGTCTGGAGCCCTGTAACCCAGCTCCAAAACGGCCAGGTGAGTAGGAGCTCCATACGGGGGAAGGCCCCAGGAAAGTCAAAAGGTATTTAACTCAGGATATGTGGCAACCACATGTCTTGACCCTACCTCCTCCTAGAATTTTTATCAGCTGAACACTACTGGAACCAGGAGTGATACCTATGTTGGTTCTTTTCTGTATCTTCTGTCATTCTCTTTTTTCTCTTAATTCTTCTAATTCCTTCCTCTCAGATTTTTGAGTAACTTAAAATCTAACAGGCTTGGAATCTATTGAGTTGAATGGGCTAAGTTAATGTTTTATGGAACGTTGTATGTTGATTGAATGCTGCTTTCAGTTTTTTGCCAAAGTTCTCTGGTTTTCAAAAGTTGCCAGTGAAGGTTTTTTTGTTGTTTTGACCTCTTGAGAATATCTCACCAGTATTTCTCCTGCTTGTTTAATTCAGAGGACGTGAACAAGTGTAAGTCCTTTTAAAGTGTCTCACTGAGCAATGTTTTTGGGGCCTAACATTTTAATTGGCGCAACAAGCAGGGTACTCTTGAGGTGACATGGATAGTACTACTACAGTAGTAACTGCTCATCACATAATAAAGGAGAAATAAATTTTCAGCCAAAGCTGCTATTTTCTGGCAGAAAAGTAATGGAATCCCACACCAAAACTGATCTGAACTGCTCTCCGCTCACAGACTTGCTAAAAGCTTATAAAGAAAGTTCATCCAACCCTAAGGAGAGATGGGGAGTGAGAAAAACTAGCACCATCTGCAGTTACTTGTGGAGCAAACATGAACTTTGGTAAAATAAAATTTAAAAAACGCTAGTAAAGGACAAGGCCTGGTACTCATATGCATGGAGGTTCGAGTCAGAGTGACGTATGTTGCCCAGCAGGTAGAGAAGGAGCTGAATCAGTTGCAAATTGCCTCAGAGTCCAATAGCCGGCCTCAGGCTGGAGCAAGAACTGAAGGCTGGGAAGAAGCTAGCCCCCAAAACCTGAGAAACCAGTTAAACCCGCTTCTCCAATGAGCTTTAGAGATGCAATTTAACACTGCGGGGGGGGGAAGGCCCGGAATCAGCTCTTTCCACACTGCAGGAAGAGGCGGGCGGGCCGGCCTGCAACACCGCCCCCACAGGCCCTGGGAGGGCTTTGCGCGCCAAAGACAAAGCTCTCCCCTCAGCCTAAACTCCGCCCGACCCTAAAATACGTGGAGATGGGACGCCCCGAAGATGGTGTCACCTTCCTACACTCCCTGGAGGAGAGGTTTGGCTCAGCAAAGCCAATCTTCTTCCCTCCTTCTCATCCCAACCCCTGCCCACTGATAAAGAAGGAATTCGCTTGTGAGGCGGCAGAGTGCACGGTAGTGATACTTCGCTCTGCAACAGAATTGGTTGAATTACGCGGGAAAATTAGCAATTATCACAAAGACAGTGAATTGAGACTGTTTTGACAATTTCCCTAATGAGAAGAATGAAACGAATCTTTTCGAGGAGGAAGCACATAGTGAAAAGCCCTGGTCTTTTGCCCGGGGAACAACCTGTTGCGTGAAAAGTTTGGACCCCTTGGAGGGGGGATAACCCCTATCTATCCCCACTGCAAAATGTGCTAAAATTACTGGGCGAGTGTGGGAGGCAGCTGGCCTCCAAGCAATATATGAGAAGCAGCTGATGCCTCGTTGACCTTCTTACGCATTATTGTTATTTATTTCAAAATTTAAGGACTAAGGACTGAGGAAACAAAATCCCGGGCCCACCTCCAAAAAGTGAGTTGGGAGAGGGTGGTGAATTCAAATATTCGAATATTCCTCCCTGGAAATAAAATGGGAAATAAATGGAGATTCAGCTTCCCTGTAGTCTTAATGAAGCTTTGCAAGCTGCTCCTGCAGTGCCTCCTTCTGGCAGCAGTGAGTATTGAGCCTTGTCTGCCTCCAGAGGCTGGAGGCTGAAACCTGCCGCTAGAGAATCTCTAACGTTTAGGAGAAAATTATTTTATCATTATGCAAGTTTGTTGTTTTGGTCTCACTAATAACCCTGAATGTTCAATGTATCCTCACCAGTCAGGAGACTGGGTGTATGTCCAGACCTGGAATGAAGAGCCACTTAATCAGAAGTGGAAAGGACTTTTGATCCCAAGGCTGTGAGATCTACAGCTGGAGACTGCTAAATTATGCAATAAAAGTCAGCTCTGGACGCAGGGAATTGTATTGAACAGTACAGTAAATGCAACTCCGCTGCAGATAAAGCTTCAATGGAACAAGAAGCTCTAAAATTAAAAACATTAAATGGTTTATCTTTCTGCTCATTTCCAGAGCAGTGTCCCCAGTATGGCAGCATGGCTGTCTGTTATTTAATTAGTCAACCATCCTAGCAGGACCTTGTACTTAATGACTGTAATAGCAAGTATGGCTTTGAGTGCCAAAGCAGTAAGAGAACAAGAAAGAGAGCCATGTCCTTTTCCCTAAGGACCACTCTAACATCACACCCACAGAATGAATACTACCTGACCCTTGGAAAAGAAATTTTGGTTTATGGACTTCAGTCCAAATCTGCAAAACAGAATGTAACAGAATGTGTAGATCTGACAAAAAGACCATGTTACCTAAAACTGAAAAGGTCTCAAAAGGATGGCTGGTTACTCTAACTTAAATTTGCCTACATGGTGCTAGGAATCCTCATCAGTATTATTAAGGCACTGGATAACTTAAATAAGACAACTTTTGCCAAATAAGTTTTATTAGTGATAGTTGTTTTCTTTATGTCTTCTACATTTCTTTTTACAGACTTTTTTTGTTGGTTTGATTAAAGGATCACCAAAACATTCTATGGTATACCAAGTGGATAGTTTCTACTTAAGAAAGGAGGTCCAAGTGGAGCTGAGTTTTCTCCTTCTAGGGGTGTTTCGTGGAGAGATGAAGTGGTGACCAGACTGAAGCATTGCTGTTCTTCACTGCATCAAGTATTTACATGTTTTTATCTTGCAAAGTTTTAAGACATTTATGTTCATATGTTTTCTATGAGTTTTCAAACAGTATTTAAAAATGTTTGTATTTTCTCTCTGGTTGCCACAGTGGCTGAAGAAGATTACTCCCTAAATTTATCTTAGGCAAATTTTTATACCTTTTCCCATCTCCTCAGAGTAAAGCATAAAATTATTACACCAAGGCAAGTATGTGTAGTACAAGCAGGTGATGTTTAGAGCATGATCTAAATTGCATAAAGCAATGCTATTGTGATGCCAAAATTCTGGTGGGGAGAAAAGTTCTTATGTCTCATTTTGCAAGCTGAGCTTCCCATCCCCTTTCAAATCCTTTCGCTGTCTTGTGCTCTGTCAACAGCGCTTCATTTCCATGATGGGACTTCTGAACTCCTTTCAAAGAAGCTTTGCCTGAAAGAGAAGAGGTCTGGTTTGCACTGCATTGCTCTGTAGGCCTTGGGAAATCACTTTGTAAGCCCTTATCCACCTACTGCCCGAAAAACGCATATAAAAGACTTGAAGCCCCGAAGAGAAGGCAGTTAGGGGCAAAATAATGAGAATTATCATGGTGTTGGCACATGAGGTGGGCGAGAAAAAGGAGCTTAAGCCACCTGTAAATAACTTCTCTGACAATCAGGGAGGGGAAAGTGCAAAGAAAGGAAGAGGTAGAAACATCAAAGGAATGAGAGGACTATGTACAGAAGTTGAAAGTAGCAAAAAAGGGAAAAAAAAGGGTAATTGGATAAAATACTGAAAAAATAAGCAAGGCTTCTCCTGGTGCTGGATGGTGCATTGGGGGATGGTGTCAGCAGCTTTGGGTGCTCATCCCAAAGCCATCACCTGTTTTTTCTCAGCTCTGACAGGTCCAGGCAGCCTTTTTGACAGTGCTGTCCCACAGGGCACACAAACATTTGATTAGCTTGTTTTAAAAAAGAAGAGACTGATGTCAAGTTTGTTGTTGGAGTGTTCTCCGGGGAACACAAAATGCATTTTGAATGCAGTTTGAAAACATAGTTAGTCATTGCGTGAAAAACTCCCCAGAAATATTTGTGGTACTTCACTGAATTCTCCTACCACTGTGCAAAGATTTAATTTTAAAAGTTTAAAGGAGCTTTTCATTTTAAATTGATTAATTAGATGTCTAAGTACTTGCAAGCACATACTCTACTGCTATCCGGATCACCTGTCAGCTGGAAAATATGTCTAAAGAATCACCTTCGGAAGGGAATGCCATACATTTTAAAGCAGTTTTGTTAGCTTGTTTGCTCATGTGGAAATGTGTGGCCTGAAGACACATTAGACTTCATTTAATTGGGGTGGGGATAAAAGGCCTATGTGTTAATGTAAAAAGGAGTGTAACAAAGGTCAGCATCACTGAGTTTTGGAGCATGCTCAGGTGCCAGCCAAGACCCACACAGAAGGTGGCCTCCAATATGCTGTGTTGGTCCAAATGCCCCATCTCAGTGAGCTGGACATCCCATTGTGGTGTCACATATACTGTCACCTGGCAGTGAACTGTGATGCCTCAAGGGTTAGACTGTGACTTCACATCCCTTGGGGCTTTCATTCAGGCACAGAGAGAATCTGACTTAGGCTGGCTTAGGTCTGATTTTCTGCCATGTATGTCCACAAGATTTGGAGGATGGAGCACAGGGACAGCAAGGGACCAAGGTTTCTCCATTTCATTGCAGTGTGTGAGATGCTTTGGTAGTGCCAGAGATGGGGAGCAGCTTCTCAGGACACCCTGAATTACCATGGAGAACAGACAGAGCCATGGGGACAGAGTGGAGCTGCCCCATTTGCCATGATGAGCGAGAGGGTGTCGCTTATGTGATACCTTGTGGCCATGAGTTCTGCATGGGCTGCATCCTGCGTTGGGCAGAGAAGAAACCAGAGTGCCCACTCTGCAGAAGACTGATAGAGTCTGTCAGGTTTTCTCTTCAGGAACAAAAATACCTAGAATGTGTCATCACACCCCAGGGAGAGTCACCAGAGACCAGCAGCCATGCAGAAAGATCTCTTGGCCTCCTGGATGGAAACAGCTGCCAGCGCCCTGGGGCGGGTCCTGTGCAAGGGACACTCTCCCCAGCTGAGCAGGGGCCTAGTGGGACAGAGGCCGTGGGTAGCCTGCTGCCTAAGGTCTGGGCAGAACTTTTCCAAAAAGAAGCACATGTTCTTGACCCCATGTTGCCCTGGCTGCGCCAGAGGCTGGAGGCAATATATGGGTCCCAGTGGTGGCTGGCTGTGAGAGCAGAGAACAGCATCTTGTACACCCTGTGCCTCTGTGGTCCAGATGGGGAGGTCATGGTCCAGATGCTGCAGCCTCTCCTGGAGGAATATACAGAACAGCTGGTTGCTGGCACTGTCAATTTCATTGTGGGCCAATGCAGTGAGGAGGCCCAGAGGCTGCTGCTCTCCCATGCTGCTGGGAAGGAGGACAACAGCCCTGAGGCCAGTTCCCACTCCACCAGCTCCACCGGCTCCCAGGGAGGGACTCCCAGCTGGCATCCAACCCCTGCCAGCAGCCCTGCAGGCTCTGACATGGAGCACCAACCCAGCACATCAGAAGCTGCCCTCTGTGCCCTCCACATCCTCCAGCCATCTGTGCTGATTGGTACAGAGCAGGTGCAGCCCCAGAAAGAGCAGGGGGAGGTGGTGGTAGCAAGTTCCTCTGCCCAGGGCACCAGCCATAGTCCTGCTGTGCCTTGTCAGGACTGGGAGCACTCACACAGGGAGCCCCAGCACCCCACAGAAAGGAGGGCTCCCAGCCCCCAGGACTCTCCATGGAGTACAGCTAAGCCCACAGAGAGAGAGTGGAGCTGCCCCATCTGCCATGATGCTCATGAGGATGCCGCTTATGCAATGCCCTGTGGCCACCAGTTCTGCCTGGGATGTATCATGCATTGGACAGACAGGAAACCAGCATGCCCAGTCTGCAGCAGAACGATTTTGATTGTCAAGTTTTCTGTGCGTGAAGAAGATGACTATCTACAGTGTCTTGTCACACCCTCTGGAGAGCTGCCAGAGATCTGCAGCCAGGCAGGAAGAGCTCCCAGCCGCTTGGCTGAAAACAGCCCCCATTGTCCTGTGCCATCCCTGCCATCTTCTCCACAGGGGACACTGTCCCCAGCTGAGCAGGGGGCTATGAGGCCAGAGGCTGTGGGTGGCCTCCTGCCCAAGGTGTGGGCAGAACTTTTCCAAAGTCAAAAGCATCTCCTGGACCCCATGCTGCCCTGGCTGTGTCAAAAGCTGGAAGCAATATATGGGTCCCAGTGGTGGCTGGCAAAGAATGCAGAGGGACACATCCTGCAGGCCCTATGCCTTTGTGGTCTAGATGAGAAATTGTTGTTCCAGATGCTGCAGCCTGACCTTGAGGGATATACAGCACCACTGGTCTATGGCCTTATTAACATCATTGTTCATGGATGCAGCATGGATGCCCAGAGGCTCCTGCAAACCCACACTGCTGGGGAGAAGGACCACGACCCTGCAGCCAGCTCCACCAGCTCCTGGGAGCAAAATCCTGCCTCCCCTACAAGCAGCCCTGAAGGCTCCTATACGGAAGACCAAGCCAGCACCTCACAGACTGCCTTCTGCAGGGATACTGAGTGTCCCTCATCTGTGTCCTTGTCTGCAGAGCAGGAGCTGAGGGAGGTGGAAGAGGCAGATTTTGCCCAGGGCAGCAAATGCAGACCCTCTTCTTCCATCCAAGGCAGGAACTTCTCACATGGGGGGTCCTGGCACCCCCGGAAGAGGAGGGCTCCTGGCTCCCAGAACTCTCCCAGACCTGCAAGAGGTCACTCCAGTGGTGGCACAATCAAGCCTCCAACAAGTCTTTATTCAAAAGACAAGAGATAAATTGTAATTTTCCTGGTACAGTCACAGGGTGCTGCTTCTTCTCCCTTCACCTGGGGCCTGTCCCTAATCCCATGACCCTCCACAGTCCAAAGATCCACAGAGTCCCAGGGCCCTGTTGATGGTACCTTCTCCTGCAGGAAATCCTGCTGCAGCCATGACAGTGGAAGAAGTTCTGAATGAAGAGGGAGCAGGTGCATTTATGTAGGAGAATGTGCCAAATAAAGGCCGATGGTGCCTATGCACAGATGGAGAGAACATGCTGCTCCATGCACTGCCTTTCTTTGTGGCCAAGGGGAGAGGAAGGACCCTGTAGTCCCTTGGTCAGAGGGGTTTCTGGGAAAACAGGCTGGCAGGACTGTCATGACAGGCTATATGACTGAAGGGATGGTGTCCCTTCCAGGGTACAGGGAACTGGGGCTTCTGAGCAGTTTCTCTGAATCCAAACACCACTTTGTGGGGATAACCAGAGTTATGTGACTGATCACAGCACTCAGAAGAGATTGGCTCTGGCAAAAGAAAACAGTGGCCTTGATGCTGGTTGTAAAGCTATGTTTGCATGAAGAAATGGGCTTCAAGGAAGACACTCCTTGGCTGACCCCTTGGCTGATCCTCAAAGTCGGAAAGTGTCAGGCTGATGAAGTGATTCTTCCTCCTTTCCTTACTTCCTCTCTCCCTCCCTACCTCCTCTGTCCCCTCTCTTTCCCTTTTCTCTCTCACTTCTTTCCTTCCTGTCTCACTTTCTCCCTCTCTTTTCCACCTTCTCTTCCCTGTCTCTCTTCTGCCTCTCTGTCTCACTGAAGAGAACAATTGATCGGACAGCACGTCCCACCAAGACCAGGATCTTGGTCTTCCTGGAGTAAAAAGTAGGTTGTCCCTTGAACCTTATTCTGGAGACACAACTATAGCTCCTTCCTGTGTCTATGGGATCAGGTTCTATTGCTGGTGTTTTTGAGGACCACCAATACAACAGCTGGCCAGGAGCACCAGTTTCCAGAAGCATGGCAGACGTGGTAAACAGAGAAGGACCTGGCACTGTGGGCAAGTTCCAGTGGCAGTGGATGGGAAGGTACTGTGTTTTAACCCAAGTCATCAACCAAGCACTATGCAGCCACTCTCACTCTACTACCAGGGGCAGGGAAGAAAGATCTGGAAGAGTGAAAGTTACAAAACTCCTGGGTTGATGTAAAGACAGGTAATAGGTAAAGCAAAAAGTTGGACACAGAAGGAAAACAAAACAATTAATTCACTGCTTCCCATGATCAGCAGATATCCAGCCATTCCTAGGAAAGCAGGACTGCATCATGTGTGATCCAATTTACTTGGGAAGACAAACATGACAACTGTGCATGTCCTCCCAGTACTCCTTCCTCACTCTACTTTACATGCTGAGCATGATGCCATTTTGCAGTTACTGCATCAGAATTCATCCATTCCATCTTTGCTTCCTCTTTTTAGTTGAGTGTTCCTGATCACCCAGAGTTGTTCTTCATATGTAGTGCCATGCAATAATGAAATACTCTCCAGCAGAGCCTCCAAACCTGCCTTCCAGCTACTCAGAGCCTTTTCCAAACACTTCTTTAATTCAGACAGGCTTGGTGCCTTAACTACTTCACTGGGAACATGTTCCTGTCCCCATCCACCCTCTGGGTGTAGAAACTTCTCCAACATAAACCTCCCCTGATACAGCTTCATGCTATCTCCTTGGTTCACTTACTGGTCACCAGGAAGAAGAGATGTGTGCCTGCCCCTCTACTTCCCCTCGTGAGAAAGATGTAGACTGATAAGGTTTCCAGTGTTTCTTCTTTTGCTTTTTCTTATTAGGAGGCCTCATTGTGTCCATCACTTTTCCTTCACAGATTGTGTCCACACTTGGACTTCTCATCCTTTTTTTCTTTCTGTCACACTTTGTCTCACTGTATGCTAGATACCCTGAAAGGCTGTATTCATCTTTGTAGCAGTCACTGAATTATGATAGTTTTGTCAAGGTCATTTTCTCTCACTAGACTTGGATGCTCCTCAACTGTGTTCTCCATTTATCCAGCAGATTTTTCACTTTTCATCCTGCTCTTTTCTCCAGAAGTGGCCCAGTGATGTTACTTTATCAGTTTCTTGATCTGCTTATTTTGTCAGAGCAATAGCATCTGCTGTGGTGTCCCCTCTGGCTCTACAGACCTCTCCATTCATAAAGGATTTTACTCTGTTTAATAGATTGCCATAAACTGTGAACAGAAGCCTGAAACCCCCTCTGCAGAAGGACTAACAGTCATTTTCAACAATCTTACAAAAAGCAGAATCTCTCCAACATTTACTCTGCTTACTGTCTCTTCTTTATCGCCTTTTGCCTTTTTTTTACTGCATAATCATGATCTGCTTACTTCTCTGAATGTAGTGCTCTTATGATTCAAAGACCCAGAGCCTCTCTAGCTCTTTGTAGAGAACACAGAATCACAGCATGGTTGAGTTTAGAAGGGATCTGGCATTGGTGCAAGAGGATTAGGTCAGGGAATACTTCAGCAAATGAGAAATAATTAAGTCCATGGCCCCTGATGGGATGCACCTATCAAATGCTGGGTGTTGCGGGAGTTGGCAGATGTAACTGTGAGGCCCATCTCGGCAACCTTTGACCAATTGAAGCAACTGTGGGCACTTCCCAAAAAACTGGAGAAAGCAAGTGTCACTCCTATCTTCCGGAAGAAGAAGGTAGATATGATCTTCTACGATACCTATATCTAGGATCCTCTCCTACCTTTTCCTGTTACCTTGGATGTTGCAAGCTATTCTTGCAGAATAAAGAACAGAGTTATATTCGTGCACAAAGCTCTCTGGATGTGATTTGCAAGGTTTTTCAGGTGATGCAATAAACAACTTCCATTTTCTTCTATGATAGATTAAGGCATATGATTTTGGTGAAAGTTAAATGACGTTTTGACCAGTTCTGCTATAAAGGTATTTTGCTCCCCATTGAAATTCAGTAAAGAGGGCAAAATCTTTTTGATATATTCATCCTGAGCACAAGTAATATTTTTTGATAATGATTATGTAGAGGAATGTAAAACCTCAAAATTAGTTAGCCCAAACCCAGTATTAGATATCTGTTATGTAAATATTGGTGTAATTTAATGCAATGATTATTCCTGATAGGTTTTTTAATCCCTATGATTTTACAGACCAAAACTATTATCATGTAACCTTTATTTAGGGAAGATGTTTTCACTGTTATATTCTGAATACTCTTCTAGGTTGTTACCTCCACAGCTGCAGCATTTATGAAATATCCCATTGGCTTTATGTACACACTTCTGAAATTATTTATTTCGCCTTGAAGTGGCCACAGCTGCTGGTAAATTGAAGAGCTGGGATTATATTTGGGATATATTAGCTGTATGTCAGGGGGGAGAGAGTCATGTTTCTAGGTTTAACTTGTAAACATGAAAATAAATTTCTTCTGGTGGTAACATTCTAAGTTTTTATTGTTTTATGTGCATTAGTAAAAGACGACAAATACCTCTCATTTAAAACATTTTAGCATTTTGGAGTTCATGCCATTACATGGGTAAATGGATGGGCATATACAAGAGAACTTCATTGTAGCTTAATTAAAAAGCTCATATATACTGTAGAAAAACTAAATAGTCCTAAAGTAACTTTCAATTTTCAATAAACTATCTTGAACTATAAAAAACAGAGTTACAAAGAGAACTTCAGAAAAACAAAGGTAACAATTTTACAACATCTACACATTCGTACAGAATTAGATACTCAAATCATATTGCTCTGAACACTGTTGTCTTGCATTTTATTTAATAGAGACTAATGAGAAGGGATGCTCGTGTCAAATAAAAACTGCTCAGTTGTTCAGGTGTTTCACTTAGATACTTCCTTGTCGTTCATATCATTGTAAGAAGCGTTCTTAGAAGAATAATATAAATGAAAGGTTTTACTTGCCTTCTTATATTTCAGTGAGAACATTATACAGGTCATACAAATAGATGAGACATTAATAATTAAAGAGAATGCAACTGAAAGATTATTTATGTATGTTTGCATTTTTTCTTTATTTATAAAGAAGAAATTTAAAAGAAAGGCAAGCTGTACACTCATCAGAGCTAGAATGAGTAACCAAGAATGCCAGGGTCTCTTCTAGATCTATTATTCATTATTCAAAAAATACTCCACACCCTGTCTTTGGCTTAAGGCATAAATGTGGAATGAAGCTTGACAGTTTAGGTGACTGGGTTGCCTTCCTAATAAAATAATTTTCTTTTAGTGCTTCTATTTATAAAATCTTTTCTGTTCATTATATTTATCTTTTTTTTTTTTTCCCAATTTAGAACATTATCAGTAGCAATATAAGAAGTAGAAAGCTTAAAAAAAATGAATCATGCTCTTTATCCTGATTAAATTATTGCTTTGGTTTCCGATTGGAAAATCACTTTCGGACAAAGAGGAATGGGACCTCACCATTCATACATGAAGTGACAGCAGTATCTGGAACAAGGAAAGCATACTTGATATTTCAGAAGAGCAGGAGATACAAGTTGGCAAAGATTCTTTCATCTGTGTTTTTCATGTTCAGGGGGAAATAATTTACTGCAAAAGTTAGAAAGCTTTGATTCATTCTCAATGAGAAAAAAATGTCAGCTTCTAGTAGCTAGGTTTGCTAAAATGAGGCTTAGGTTCACCCCTAATTCATGCTTGGACATAAGAACAGTATAAAAACAGCAATAAAAGTTTGTGGTAACTTGAATTGCAGCTGTCTACATCTATTAGCTAAATAGCACACACTTCAATAAAGATTTACTACATGCATGTAATAAAAGTGGATAACTAATTGCAGTAGGTTCATCTGCTGTCCCACACAGCAAGGCAGGTGTCACCCTGAAAACTCAGCTTCTGAGCTTGCTGACATAGTTTTCTAAGGACTTTCCCAGGACAGTAACTGTAAACATAGATATGTGTACATTCTTTCTGTTACACGTCTTGTGATGGGCATCTCTCAT